TATTGGAAATGCAACATTATATATATGCATGGGAATTTTAAGCACTTAAAACACAATTTGGTAAGAAAACCTCCCTTTTTACACTTGTTCTTCAATTGTACCTCCAAAATGGATGATGAAACTCCGGTACCTCCTACAAACAAGTGAAATACATCTAATTAGTCAATTAAATCACACTAAAATGTAAGAAACACATAAAAATACACAACTGCAATTTTATTGGGTTGCCTCCCAACAAGCGCTTTGTTTAGGGTCGTTAAACTCAACTCTCCTATAGCTTCTTTAACTCTCCATTGTGTTTCCTAAGGAGTAAATCTCTCCTTTAGGAACCTTTTCTCCGGCCAAATAGGGTTTCAATTTTTGACCATTTTCTTTGAATGGGAAACCATTTTCTCCTTTTATTTCCACTGCTCCATAAGAAAACATGCGAACCACTTCAAATGGTCCGGACCATCGAGACTTAAGCTTTCCAGGGAATAATTTAAGTCTTGAGTTAAACAATAACACCTTTTGCCCTTCTTCAAAATGCTTAGGGAGAATGTGTTTATCATGCCAAAATTTTACTTTTTCTTTGTAAATTTTGGTATTCTCATACGAGGTTAACCGCGATTCCTCCAATTCGCTTAACTAGAGCATTCTCTTTTCACCTGCAGATTTAAAAGCAAAATTAATAGTTTTAATGGCCCAAAAAGCTTTATGTTCTATTTCTACAGGTAAAGCTTTCCCATAAACAAGCTTATATGGAGACATTGCCAACGGCATTTTAAATGCCGTTCTATACGCCCACAAAGCATCTTCAAGTTTGTTTGTCCAATCCTTTCTCGATCGGTTGATAGTTTTTTTCAAAATGATTTTAATTTTCCGGTTGGCCAACTCTGCTTGACCATTAGCTTGAGGATGATAGGGAAGTGACTTTTTATGCCTGCATCCATATTTAAGCAACAAGGTGTCAATAATTTTATTACAAAAATGTTTACTTTCATCGCTTATTATTGCCTTTGGAACTCCAAACCTACAAAATATGTTCTGTTTAAGGAATTTAAGCACAACTTTAGCATCATTAGTTTGTGAAGGAATGGCCTCCACCCATTTAGGGATATAATCAACTGCTAATAGGATGTACTTATTATTATATGAGTTAGGAAATGGTCCCATAAAATCAATGCCTCAAACGTCAAATAACTCAACTTCCAAATATGTAGTCAAAGGCATTTCATTCTTTCTTAAGATATTACCGGTTCTTTGGCATTGATCACAACTTTTAACTCAATTTCTAGTGTCTTGGTGCATAGTAGGCTAATAAAATCCAGATTGCCATATCTTTGCTACGGTTTTAGTTGTACTAAAATGACCTCCCGTTTCAAGTGTATGACAATATCTTAAAATACTATGTACCTCTTCTTTCGGAACACATCTTCTAATTATTTCATCTACACAATGTTTGTAAAAGAATGGTTCTTCCCAAAAATAATGTTTAGCATCATTTAAGAACTTTTTCCTTTGATGAGAATTCAAATCACTTGGTATCACTCCACTAACTACAAAGTTAACTAGATCAGCATACCATGGTGACTTATAAATTGCCATTAAAAACTCATCTGGAAATTCTTTTTTAATGGATGAATGGTCTTCTTGAGGCATGTTTTCCAGTCTAGAAAGATGATCAGCGACTAAGTTCTCGGATCCTTTTTTATCTTTGATCTCCAAATCAAATTTCTGCAATAATAAAATCCATCAAATTAGTCGAGGTTTTACATCTTTCTTATTTAAAAGATATTTGAGTGCTGCATGGTCAGTATAAATGATAACTTTAGATCCTACTAAATACGATCTAAACTTATCCAACGCAAATATCACTGCTAGCAACTCTTTCTCTGTTGTTGCATAGTTAACTTAGGTTTCATTTATCATTTTACTTGCATAATAAATGACATGAAGTCGCTTATCATGTTTTTGTCCAAGAACAGCTCCAACTGCAAAATCACTCACATCACACATCAATTCGAATGACAAGCTCCAATCCGATGATGCTATTATGGGTGCGGAGATAAGTTCCTTCTTCTTGAAAGCAAATAAGCACTCATTATTAAAGTGAAAAGGAACATCTTTTGCAAGTAATTCACATAAAGGTTTAGTAATTTTGGAGAAATCCTTAATAAATCACCGATAAAATCCCACGTGTCCAAGAAAGTTGCGAATGCCTTTCACATTGATAGGTGGAGGCATTCTCTTAATAACCTCTATCTTGACTTGATCTATCTCAATACCTTCTGAAGAAATTTTGTGACCTAGCACAATACCCTCACAAACCATGAAGTGATATTTTTTTCAATTGAGTACAAGATTTGTTTCTTCACAGCTCTGCAAAATTAGATCTAAATTGTTAAGACAATGATCATAAGTAGATCCAAATACAGAAAAATCATTGATGAAGATTTTCATAATTTTCTCATTAAAATCAGAGAAAATTGCCATCATGCAACGTTGGAAGGTGGCTGGTGCATTGCACAATCCAAAAGACATTTTTCGAAATGCAAAAGTGCCGTAAGGACAGGTGAACGTGGTTTTCTCTTGATCTTCCGGTGCAATGACTATTTGATTGTATCCTGAAAAATCATTCAAAAAATAATAAAATTCATATCCAGCCAATTTTTCTACCATTTGATCAAGAAAAGGAAGAGGGAAATGATCCTTTCTAGTAGCTGCATTCAATTTTCTATAGTCAATACAGACTCGCCACCCAACCACAACTCTAGAAGGAATCATTTCATCATTTTTATCACGTACTATGGTTATCCTCCATTTCTTTGGCACTACATGAATAGGAGAAATCCAAACACTATCAGAAATTGAAAAAATTATACCTGCATCCAGCCATTTAAGAATTTCTACTCTTACTACTTTCATATTTGGATTTAACCTTCTTTGAGTCTCAACCACTGGTTTAGAGTTTCTTTCCAACAAAATTCTGTGCATACAAATAGTTGGACTGATTCCCTTGATATCAGAAATCGTCCATCCTATAGCCTTTAAATGCTTCTTCAATACACGTAAGAGTTTGCCTAGTTGTTCCTCATCTAGTGCAGCATTGACAATCACTGGCAATGTCTCTTTTTATCCAAAAAATGCATATTTGAGGTGTTTAGGAAGTGGCTTAAGCTCAAGCCGTGGATCTTGCTCACACGATGATGGCGGTAATCCTTTGCTCAGTCCTAACTCCTCATACGCATTCCTCCTTTTGTAAGGAACCTGTGCCTGCAAAAATTTAGTCATTTCTTCAATCAATTGTTCCTCTTGTAAGCCTACACCATTAAGACAAAGTTCAAGAGAATCATCATCAAGATTAGCTTGACTCATCTCTAATGTCAATTCATCACATATGTCAACAGAATAAACATGATCGGTAAAAGAGGGATATTTCTCCACTTTACTCAAATTAAATTCCACTTCCTCTTTACCGATTTCGAACTTAAACTTACCTCGTTTGACATCTATTATTGTACCTGCAGTAGCCAGAAATGGTCTACCAAGTATAATAGGTACATTAACACCTTCCTCCATATCTAAAACAACAAAATTAACAAGAATAATGAATTTCTGTACTTTAATGAGCACATTCTCTAATATGCCTATTGGATGTCTAATAGACCTGTCAGCCAATTGCAAAGAAATGTTAGTACGCTTTAACTCTTTCAACCCCAATTGCCTAGCCACAATTAAAGGGATCAATGACACACTCGCACCCAGGTCACAAAGTGCTTTAGAGAATTCTACATTACCAATAGTACAAGGAACTGTGAAACTCCCTGGATCTTTCAACTTTGGTGGCAATTTATTTTGTATGATGACACTACATTCTTCCGTTAATGCAATTGTCTCACTATCTACTAACTTCCTTTTCTTAGTCATTATCTCATTGAGAAACTTTGCGTATGAAGGAATCTACAAAATAGCATCAACAAAAGGAATATTAATATGTAATTATTTGAAAATGTTGACAAACTTCGCAAATTCTTTATCATTTCTCGAAGGCTTCAATCTTTGTGAAAATGGCAACGGTGGAATTGGTGTTGTATCTCCCATTTGTGGTTCATTTTCCTCCATCTTTTTTTTCCTTTTGATTTTCTTACCGTTCTCTCCTAACTCACTCAACTGCTTGTTCTCTCTTCTTTCACATTCTCTCTCACATTCAACTACAGGCAACTCACCCACTTCCTTACCACTACGGAGGGTTATAACCTTTACATACTCCCTTGGGTTCACATCAATCTTGCTAAGTAAATCCCCTTGGTTGCGATTGTTAACCGCATTTGCTATTTGCCCTAACTGAACCTTAACATTCCTGTACATATTGGTGAGTTGGTCCATCCTTCCTTCAATTCTTTCAAACCGTTGAATAGTGGCACTTGCTAAATTTTCAATTTTATCATTTGATACATTTGCCAGCTTCTCAATTGCAAATTTTCAAGTTGGTTTGGATTCTGAAAGTGATTGTTTTGGTTGAAAGTCCAGTGGATTAATTGGTCTTTGTTGGTTCCCTTGATCCTTCCATCCAAAATTCGGGTGATTACGCTATCCTGAATTATAGGTATTGGAGTATGGATTATTTTTGGGTGGACGGTTGTAATTGTTAAGATATTGAACCTGTTCGCTGCTAGAACACATAGAATCATTATGATCTCCGTCGCAAGTAGTACAATATGCAACAACTACTCCTTGATTAGAGTTAGAACCAACGTACCTATTAAGTATTTTAACCACATTATCCATTTTTGCACTTAACATATTCAAGGTATCTACTTCGAACATACCTGCGGTTCTCTTTGTATTACCTCGTTCGTTTGCCCATTGATAGTTGTTAGCAGCCATTTCTTTGATCAATTTGTTGAGCTTTCTCAGCTGTCTTTCCCATCAATGTTTCTCCCGCTGCCGCATTTACATGCGTCTTTATTGGATAGGTGAGACCATTGTAAAATGTTTGGACTACTAGCCAATCTGGTAAACCATGATAAGAACATTTTTGTTGCAATTCTCGATAGCGCCCCAGGCTTCATACAATGTTTCTCCTTCCTGTTGAGAGAAACTAGTTATATCCATTTTGAGTTTAGCAGTTTTTCCAGGTAAAAAAAATTTATTTAGAAAAGCCTTAGCTAATTCAGCCAAAGTTGTAAAAGTGTTAGGAGGATGGGATTATAGCCAAACCTGGGCTTTGTCCCTTAGCGAGAATGGAAATAATCGAAGTTTAATTGCATCATCACTAACACCATTAAACTTAATTGTATCACAGATTTCAAGAAATGTTGACAAGTGAGAATTTGGATCTTCGGTGGCATTACCTCCATATTGAGATTGTTGTACTATTTGAATTAGTGATGGTTTAATCTCAAAATTATTAGTATTTATCGTTGGCCTTGCAATACAAGTTTGAGAATCTTGTGTTCCCGGTAAAGCAAAATCTCGTAGAATTCGCCTATTTGGTTCATTTTTCACCATTTCTTACTCAAATGGTAATTCTATCAAGATTTCCTCTATCGGCTGCCAAATCTCTTGTTCCTCTTGATGTGGTGTATTTCTTCTTTGTCTACGTAGTGTCCTCTCAATTTCAGGATCGAAAAGTGCACTTTCTCGATTTGATCGGTGCATACACTACAAATAAAAATAAGAGAAATTTTGTAGTTTTAATTATTAAAATCAACTATAAACAACTTGAATAAAAATAATGGAAATATCTAAATTAATAGAGATGATTAGGCCCTAATATTGCCGCTCCCTGGCAGCGGCGCCAAAAATTTGACGAGATTTTTATATCAATGCAAGTTTAAATTCGATTTTATACCCGTTGACTGCAAGTATACAGGCCGAAATCGTAATGTAGGGTATGTATCGGGTCGATCCCACGAGGAGCAAATTAAATAAGTACTAGGCCTTTATTTTTCTCTATTATTTAGACTTACAATAAATCTGAGTAAGAAAATTATAATGCTATTGTCTACAAATCTGGTTTAATCAATGTTAAATGCAAATGGAGAAATTTCACTAAAGATTGAATCTATGGATGTAGATTCCACTTATGGCATAAACAACACAAATGAATAGATTTACCTCTTGTTATTTTTCTTGTTTAATCAGGGATTCATTTCCAATATTACCAAGTCTCATTCTCATGATGAATTGGTCTATAGCAATATAGTTTTTTCTATTTTCATAGTAAAATACTAGTTCTACTCTGTTTTCTTTCATGAAATACTAAGTAATTCACTTAAGTGTATTTCTATTTTCATGAACATACAACTTAAGCTCTACTCATGTTTTTTCATTGTTACTACCAATTCTCATTGACTAATAACAACTATAAACATGCTATTGGTGATCAAACAACAACAAGTAATTTCAACTACACAAATAGGCAAGTTAATAGAAGATATAACAAGTGTAAATCACATTCAATTTATATCATTTAGTCAAAAGTTTCATCTACTCCCTAGATTAAGAAGTTTAACTACTTATGAATGATTTAACAATCACACTCACAAGTTTATTAATACAAAACATCATAAAGTACAAGTACAAGAAAGATAAAGGAAAGCTTAGCCAATTGACGGTGAAGCCCTCAATTTTCTGCTATATTCTTGTACAAGATGATTATAAGTGAACACTCCAATTGCTTCTCAAAGAACCCCTAGCTAGAGAGAAATTAGTTACCAGCAAGAAAACTAGCTACGTAAGGTGATGTCCAGCTTCTCAATTGTGTGTCTGCATAAAAGGTGGTAGAAAGGCATTTTTCTTTTTCCTTCATGATTTCAACCACTTAGATTTTGTAAAGGAAGTCAAAAGATATGTCGTTTTGACTAGCCAATAACTCATTTGGTCTTCTCTTTTGTTGCAGAAGCATGTGCTACCGAATTTTCTCTCCCAAGATAGCTGAAAAGTTGTATGAAAAGTGAAAAAATGGCTGTGCCACTTGCTGAAGAGTGAGGTAGATCCGAGTCTCGGATTCGAGGGGTAAAGATCGATCCGAGCTCGGATCTTATCAATCCGAGGACTTTCTCTAATGGATCCGAGCTCGGATCGTATGACCTCGGATATACTGTTCCAGAAGTACAGACGAGGGCTCAGATCGCCCTTTACTCACACGGATCCGACCTCGGATCCATGCTGATGAATTTCTAATTTTTTACTTCTTCTCTTTTCTCTTCATGTTTGCTCCTAGTTTCTCTTGTACTTTATCCTCAGGACAATTCTTACAATTCCTTCATCTCGTGCATGAATTCCATATATCAATATCCTTCATAATTTCACAAAATTAACACATTAATCCACGTACTTATCAAATTTTGAACACTTAAACAAAATTTAATCAATTATCACCGAAAGAGTTCAAATATAGCTTTAATCTTCTCAAAACATACCAAAAGTTCATGCCAAACTTGTACAAAATATACGTTAAATATTCACTTATCAATAGACAGAAAATTTTCATGAAATTGTGAAGGCTTTAGGCATGACAAGAGGAAAAAATTGAATGAAAGCATGCATAAGAATAAAGTTGGATGTTATGCGAATGAAATACATAGTATGTGGATTCGTCTTCGAATATAATCCTGATTTAGCATGCAACTCCAGCATATCATAGTTGCACTCACATTGGTAGATTTTGGAAGTCCACTACCCTCACGCTAAGTCATTGAAGATGATGGGTATGAAGACATCCTAGATTATGAAGTATTTGTAATAAAATTAGTTGGATATGCAGATATGGGCTTCATTCCAAAGGATTTATATGAGAGGTTGCATACTGAAATCAGAAAACATGTTGCCAAAGGTGATGCTAAAGGTGCCCTTGGGTACTTAGCCGATAAATGATACAATGTTTTATTTCAGTTCTTAAGATAATTTTGGGCAGATTCAAGGTCAATGCAGGACTTCATAGAGTTTGGGGATGTGCTAGTGTTTGACACTACATACAAAACAAACAAATACCATGAGCCATTGGTAGTGCTTGCTATGTAAACAATCACTTTTGCAGCATGGTTTTTGGCACTTGGGATCCTCGGTTACATCTTTCCTGTGCCAACCCAATGCCACCTCTGGAATTGCACCAAGTGTCCTATTATCATTTGTACTTTAGTTTTCTAATAACTCAAATTGGTTTGGTTTAACACAAGTTTCCTTTGCCTTCTAAAACTTTGAACCAAAATTAACTGATCTACTTTATAAACCAATACTTTTGTACGGAAACCACTCACGATCTATTGCTTTGGGGAAAAAGAAAAAGAAAATCCTAAACAAAATTGCCTTCAAACTCTTTCATTATTGATTGTTTTGAAAAAACCCAAACAGAGAAAAGTCCCTGTAACTAGCTTGCACCGTTGCCTAATAAGTTGAAAGTTGAAAAAAAAGCCTTGAAAGTTGCGTCACCACTCCAAAGATCTACCTGCATTTTCATACCAAAGTCAATAGATTACAATTGGGTCGACATCTGGCATTTATATAAATTAGAATTCACCTTTGATTTGTATTTCTGGAATTGCATTGAAAGTTGCTCACACCGTTTCCAGTAACCGAGAATTCTATTTGCCTAATAAGTTGTTAGATCAAGTGGTGACTTCTCTTTCACTTTCTTAGATAACAAGATTCTACATCAAATTATTGTTGTCAAGAACAGTTGCCGGAGCAAACATTAACAAGAGAATTAAAAAGAGATTTTATTATTATTATCTTCAATTCTAGGTAATTTATATGTGTACTTTTTTTTACTTTTGTTTTTACTGTTATTGACTTAACATGAATTATTGTTTATTGTTTACAAACAATTTACTATGTACGAATACTTTTGACATTGAAAAAATATTTACTTAAATAATCATTCAATGGGTCTGGAAAAACAAACTGAACTGTTGAATACTCTAAGCAATAATGCCACTATAAAATTTCTGAGATGTTTGATTCTTGCAGCCTATGTAACTACTAACAGTAATATTACCCTACCTTATTTTATGTAATTTTATATTTTCATATTTGTATTCATCATTTTTATTTCCCTCTGAGTTGTGGAAGTGAAATTTACATTGAATTGTGAGTTTGGAAAGGTTAAATATTAGTTGAGTGGTCAAACTGATTACTTACGCACTAATTGTGATGTATCTTGAAAGTAAACTACTTTGTCAGATTAAAAAATTATTTATTATTTCAAGAATTGTTATAAATTTTACTAATGTACCAAATTGAAAAGGAGGTACAAGAAGTAACAATAGCTTTTCTGACTAGTTGCAAGTAGTAGTAGTGAATGAGTAGAATTGGGAATTCAACTATTTCAATTAAATTATTGAGGAAAAAAACTTTCTTACATTTTTTCATATTGTATTGCAATTAACTTTGTGTGGAAGTTTGCAGGATATGGATGCTACGACTTCTATGGAAAGTGAGGTATGACCCTGTCGTAGATTGGATTTTGACAAGGTAGATGAAATTACCAATGATGAGGTTTCCACTCCACCAGTTTTAAATGTAATAAAATATATAAACAAAATTCATGCATCGATTCCTCCTAAACTACTTCCGAAGATGGGCATGGAATATGAGAGTGAAGAAGATGCTTATAATTTTTACTTAGCATATGCAAAGGAAGTTGGTTTTGGAATCAAAAGAAGTAGCTTCCACAAAGATAGCAATGGTAAGCTCATGCATAGGATATTTTATTGTAGCGTTGAAAGAAAATGAGCAAAGGATAAAAGAGATCTCAATGTAAGAGCCCTTTGTCCTGAAACACGATTTAATTGTTCGACAAAGATGAAGGTTAATAGGAGACAAACTGGTAAGTTTCGTATATGTCAATTGATCATTGAGCATAATCACTATCTTTCAAGTCCCAACAAAACTCACTTACACAGATCAAATAGAAAGATAAATTCTATTCATGCATCTGAAATTGATATGGCATACCGTGTGGGTATAGCACCAAAAGTTTCTCATGAACTTCTAGCACTACAAGCAGGAGGACGGGAGAACTTAGGTTTTATTCCTGAGGATTATAAGAATTATTTACATTCTAAATGAACAATACAAATGAGAGTCAGAGATATAGGAGGCGTACTTGAACATTTGCA